AATTCTTAAACCAGTTTGCTTAACAATAGGGAAAAATGGAAAGCACATAGACTAGTACATGAAGTCTAAATTTCTAAATAGTCCTCCAAACAATATTTTCAATTCTAAACTCTTCGGATCATACAACATGAGAGAAAGCCTTACCCTGACATCTGACTTGATACCTGGCAAAGAAATGTTCAGGTTAGGTCAAGGTCTTTAAGTGGCCAAGTCCTGCTCTTGTCAAATTGAACAAAACCAGCAGTAATAAGGTTCTCTTTGGGCAGCAAATTCTTATTCATTTTCTAGTTTTTGGAATTTATCAGCAATAATGATGTGGCTAGGTAAATTTAGTTATAGCATCTGTGGGTGCAGATGCATTCACCTAGCAGTAAGTATTCAGTTGGTAGTGTCTCATGTTTCCAATCTTAAATCCATTTTGTCTCATGATTGTCTCCAATGTTCATGAAATGTGTTAATATTTTCATATACTTTTCCTCATTATCATAGAATGTAAGGGTTGAACAGGTCCTTTGATACCATTTAATACAATCTCTTACCCAGTGCCAGAATCTTCTACTTCAGCATCTATGACAAATGGCCACCCAACTCTTGTTAAGTACTCCTAGCAAAGGGGAGTCTACTACTGCCTGTATTTATAAATATGTTGAATAGTACAATTCAGCATGCTGAGCATTAACATACATTCATTGAGTATTTATTCATCCAGCTCTATATTCATAGTCCAGCCTACATTTTACCATCTTCTCTTGTAGATTCTCATTTATTTATTTAGTTGTTTTACACAATCTATAACTCACCCCAGTCCTGACAGAAACCTTGACAAATGCTTTGCTGAAACTAAGGTATACAGTGTCTACTGAAATCACATAAGCTGATCATTCTATCAAAAAAGATAAGGTTGGTTTGGCATGAATTGTTCTTAATATGCCAACTTAGCTGGCTCCTGCCAAGCTATGCATCCGTTCCTAAGTGCATACAAACCAACTGCTTAAATTCTGTTCCATAGATTTGCCTGGTATCAATTTCAATCTGACTGATCTGTCATTTCCCTGATCCTCTTTTTCCTGTTCTTGAACCTATAAGCAACATTTGCCCTTCTCCAAATCTCATGTCCATCCTCCATGGTTTCTTACAGAAAGGAGCTTTGAGATAAAATCCACAAGCTCCGTCTATGAAGTTGAATGTAAGGGGACTTTGCTGCTTAAGAAGTGTGTGTGATCAAATAAAAAGAGATAGAGTGAAGAATGAATGGGTGCTGAAGGAGCGTGGGTTAAATGTAAAAGTGAATTAGTAGAATGAAAGAAGTACGTTCAAGTGGTTTTCTCATACAGAGAGAATGAAAGGAGATCAAATTATAAGACAAATAACTGAAGGCAGTATGAATTGTTTAACAAGGAAAGAGCAATATGAAAAAAAATGTATTTGGATGTAGATGATGAGATTCCCCCTAATATTTATGGTGCCTATTAAGGTCCAGATGGAAGAAAACAGACTTAGGCTGAACCTCAGCAAAACAGACTTTTCATTGACAAGCAGTTCAATGTGCTGGTTGTAACCTAAAAAGTCCTTTAATGGTTTGGCATCTAGGAACCTTCAGGACTACCTTCTCCAGCTAGGTTCCCCTTCTGAGATGGGTCTGCCCCAGTGCCTGATGGACCCGTTAGGGTTTTAGAGGGAGCTGGGGGGTATTCCTGAGGATCTGCTGCACAGTCCAGCAGATCTTAGGAGGTCTTAGCTGCTGCCTGGAACAGGGAGGCAGCCGGGGCCTTGGACAGGACTGCGCCTATGCGACCTTTCTTGCCCTGATCATCGCCCTGATACTCCCTGTGGTTTATAGAGGAGTTGAGGGTTCTGAAGAGGGTTAAGAGACGTCTAGAGCGCCGCTGGAGGAAGACAAAGACCGAATCTGACCAAACACAGGTTAGAGCTGCTATTAAGGCCTACACTGTGGCGATAAGAGCGGCGAAGCGCCAATACTTCTCTGCTCTTATCGTGTCTGCTGAATGTTGCCCTGCAGCCCTGTTTGGAATCACTAGTTCCCTCCTTGGTAAGGGGGATTTGGTGATTCATTTTCAGGGACGTGTGGAGGAACTTTCGGAGCATCTGCAGGACAAAATCACTCAGTTTTGTTCTAAGTTAGACTGGGAGCTTGGGGCAGGGTCTGGGGAGATACCAGGGGATCGTCCTTACCTAGTTATCTGGGAACAGTTTGATCCTGTTGATCCTGAGGAAGTGGGCAGGATCCTTTGGACTGTGAAGGCCACCACTTGCCAACTTCACCCATGCCCCTTCTGGCTGGTCAAAGCAGCTCAGGAGGGGACATGGTTGGATCCAGGTGATGATTAATACATCCTTGCGGGAGGGAGTGTTCCCGGCTGCCTTTAAGGAGGTGTTGTTGCACCCCCTTGTTAAGAAACCCTCCCTGGATCCCACTGTACTGGACAATTTTCATCCAGTCTCCCACCTCCCCTTTTTGGGGAAGGTGGTTGAGAAAGTGGTAGCTTCATAGCTCCAAAGGGTTCTGCAGGAAACGGATTATTTGGACCCTTTTCAGTCAGGTTTCAGGCCTGGTTACGGAACAGAAACGGCATTGGTCGCACTTATGGATGATCTCTGGTGGGAGCGGAATTGTGGAAGTGCAACCATCCTTTCTCTCCTTGATCTCTCAGCGGCTTTCGATACCATTGACCACAGTATCCTTTTGGGACAGCTCAGGGAATGGGGGCTGGGCAGCATGGTTCTGTGCTGGTTCACCTCCTTTCTTCAGGGCCGATCCCAATCAGTGGTGATAGGGAGCGAGAGGTCCCATCCTCAGCCCCTCCTTTGTGGGGTTCCGCAGAGTTCGGTTCTCTGCCCATACCTTTTTAACATTTACAGGAAACCGCTAGGCAAGATCATCCGCCATCATGGGATGAGGTATCATCTATATGTGGATGATACTCAATTATACATCTCCATCCCAGGTGAGATAAATGACTGCCCTTTCACAATGCCTGGAGGCTGTAATGGTCTGGATGGGGAACAACAGGCTTCAGCTGAACCCTGGTAAGATGGAGTGGCTGTGGGTTAATGGCTCCTCAGTATCCGGGACTTTGTTATTTTTGGTGCTGGATGGGGTAGCACTGCCCCAAACAGACCCAGTGTGTAATCTGGGGGTCCTCCTGGACTCATGGCTCCTGTTCATAGAGCAGGTGGCAGCCGTGGCCAGGAGGGCCTTTGCACAACTTTGGGTTGTGCATCAGTTATGCCCTTTCCTGGATCAGGATGCCCTTCAAACAGTCACTCATGCCCTTGTTATCTCCCATATAGACTACTGCAACGTGCTCTACATGGGGCTACCCTTGAAATGTATCTGGAAGCTACAGCTGGTCCAGAATGCAGCCACGCGGGCTATTTTTGGAGCCCCAAGAAGGGCCCATGTAGCACCATTGCTCCATGAACTGCATTGGGTACCAGTTTGCTTCTGGGTCCAATTCAAGGTGTTGGTTATCACCTTTAAAGCCCTACATGGCATGGGACCAGGTTACTTAAGGGACTGCCTCTTCCCCATGACTTCAACCCATTCCACCTGATCACACAGGGAGGGTGTGCTTCAGCCCCCCTCGGTAAAAGAGCTCCAATTAGTGGAGTCCAGAAGGTGTGCCTTCTCGGCTGTGGTCCCCACCCTTTGGAATATCCTGCCCCCAGAGTTGAGATTGGCCCCTTCACTCCTGGCCTTCCAAAGGGATTTGAAGACCTGGCTCTGCCACTTGGCCTGAAATGAGGAGGGATGACATGAGGTTGGGGATGGCTAGTCCCTTAGAAGCCTTTCATCTGCAGTCCTGGAAACCATCATCCTCTTGGACTTTTTATTTTTTGGTAATGCTTTATACAGTTTTTATATGTTCTGTAATTTTATATATATTTATTGTTTTGATGGATTATGTGAGCCGCCCAGAGTCCCCCATTAGGGGGAGATGGGCGGAGATAAATCTAATAAATAAATAAATACAATTTCTTCCAAAAGAAAGCTATCGGAAGTGACCCATTTTCAGAAAACGAGGGGGAGCAAGGCCTGGAGGCATTTCTGTGGGATGGCCTGGGCCCACTAGAATAGCAAGTTTAGCTCCAGAAGCTAGTTAAAATTGAATTAATCCAAAGTCTTTGGGGTACGAATGTGTCGTAACCAGGGTTCTGTTGTTATATTATTTTAATTGTTTGCTTGATTATTTTTCACTGTGAATGTGTCAATTGCTGTATCTTTGTATAACTGTAAACTGCAAAGAGTCACAACTTTGGTGGTATATAAATTTAATAAATTTAAAACATTAAAAAGAGAAATGTGAAAAGTTAGAAGAAAAAGGGAATATATGAATCAGTGTATGGACATGGTGGAAGCAAGGCTGGATAAGAAGAATGGTAGGTTATGGAGGGTTACAATGAATAGTGTCAGCATAAATTAAATATAGCCATATGTCTTTTTCTTTCCTCTTATCTCCCACTTTCAACTTCTTATGCTCATTAGTTCTTATTCTTCTCATTTTGTATAATATTGCTTACTCTAAAGAAAATTATGTAATGGGTATCTGGGTATCTATGAATCTTCTTTCTTTAGCTGATTGGGCCTTTTTGCAATTTCTCCTATCATTTGTTCTGGAAATAATTTGGGTAGGGGGGCTGCACAGCTCTGAACTTCAGCTCCATGCTTCTATCTTAGCTGAACCAGCAGCAGTGTGAACTGTTAAGAGTTAAAATGATTTAATGTTTTATAAAAGGATTTAATTTAAGCATTTATAATTAAAATTAATTATAAAATTATTATGAACAGAGGGTCTTTTGATGCTCAATGCAACTTCCTGGCCTTATAATTGTTTATTGTGTTGTTGTTGTTATCATTATTATTTTATCAGATATAATATAGGCCCACTGTGCATTAATCAGCCCACTCCAAAAATCAGATTTTTTACTTGCGGTATCTCAGACTAATGTGTTCTGTTGTTGTTGTGTTATGGTGACAGGATCATCAGAACCAAAGTACAACAGCCTTTCCACCCAACACCAGATGGGAGCGGAGCAGGGGTAACTGCACCTGGACATACTATAGGTAAGAGGAAAGCTGTTTAGGTAACATAAAACAAAAACATTAATGAACACATCATTAATGCCAAAGAACCCTCAAACCTAACCTCTAGCTAGACTGATGTCACCTGTATTGGAATTCAGATCCCAAGCCACTGAAAATCGTTCTAGTTCAAACTAGCAAACATCTTTTATGAATGAATGTAACATTTAACCAAAGAGGCATTTTGATGAAATGCTAAGCTAAGCTTAAGTATTGTTTATCACACAGGACATCTCCTTGAGTGACAGCTAATGTGCTGTTCCACAATCTTATGGAAGCTTATTTCTGTGAATCAAAGAGCTCTTCCATATTAATGGTGTTTGTTGCTGCTCAACAGACCACCTTATTTGAATTTTACCCCTACAGTGTTGTTGCCCACAGTTCTTTATAGGTTCTAAAGCTGAAAAATAACCCTCCCTACTTTCTGAACAAGAGCGAGAGAAAGGAATCAATGCAGGCTCAGAGAGAGTTGCTGTTCCAAGGATCTAAAACACATCCTAATGTATTCGTATGTGATGAAACCCCACGGTTGTTCCTGTTAAGGAAAAGTTTATTTTGATCAGAGAATAAGAGATTACGTCAGCTGCATTTCTACCCCAATTTTTCCTTCTCCGACCGCATCGCTCAGTGTTATATTTCTGAGACTGGCGCACGAGGAAACGGGAATCTGAAACAACGGTGGATAACAAACGGTCTGCTTTTGAGGCCTTGGAGCACTTTGCAGGTGTGATTGCTAGAAATTTGTGGCACAGTTTGCAGAAATACGCAAAAAATGTATTAGAAACTGCAAAATAAAGTTTTTTACTTCCCAAGCATTCCCCCTCAAAAGAAAAGAAAAGAAAAGAAAAGAAAAGAAAAGAAAAGAAAAGAAAAGAAAAGAAAAGAAAAGAAAATCACAGCCCGTGTGGGTCAATAGTCCCATCTTCAGCCACCAGAAATTGAGCAATCCCTCTCCAGCATATGACAGGAGCTTTAATGAAGAACCAGGTGACAGCAGGCAATATGCATGAAAATCTGCAGTGGCCTTTGATTTCTACAACATCACAAGTAGAGACAGGGTTGTTTTTCTGTATTCACAAGTGCCCTGGGCCTTTCCAGTCAAGACCGTTCTCCAAACCTTATTGCTGAAAAGATCTGCTTCTCTGTCCTCTTGGTACACAATTCTTAGGGATGTGGGATAATAGATAATTTGCAATGTTTATTATTTAAATGATCATGAACATGCCTACCTGGAGAGGAGAAAGCACGGACTGTAAATAGTAAATGAAAGATAAAATATTGATGAAATTATGGCATTTTTTAGAGGGAGGGGGAGTTTTTCAGGGGTATGCCACAATTTAAATTTTTAGAGGGCATCATGTAAATGTTTATGCTTGACAGGCACTAGCAGAGGATTAACACTACATATATACTGTACTTATGTTAATACACATATCCACATGCAGACATACACATAGCAGACAGTAATTCTGCAGATTATGAATGGTGCATATAAACCCATTATGTAAGATTTCTTGACAATCCCAATTTGCCATGTCCAAAGTCTTGAAAGCCATTCTTCTGTTCCACATAGACAGGAAAAAAGGTCCTGATATTTCAGATTCTTCATTCTTCTGTATTTTTCCAGATGTTGGTCCAAGCTGTACCCATTTCCTATGCCACTTCCACTTTCCTGTTTATAAATAGCCACTAATTTACCATTAGATTTTTTTTTAACAAGCTCCACCCCTAGATGAAAGAGCATTCTGGATCATGATAAGAAATAGGAGCAAACTCTCTAGTTTCATTTGAGTTAGTTGCCAGTGAAATGTGATTAACAACACAGCAGGGAATTAGGGTTAGGCCACTAAGGGTTTCCCAGAAATTTTGGACTACAACTCCCATGTCCTTGTCATAGGCCATGCTGACTAGGGCTGATAGAAACTGAAGCCCAAACTCTTGGATTTTAAGTTGCCTTCTTCTGCAAGGAACTGGTGCATCCTCCAAGGTTTTTGTTGTCTCTTTTGTTGGAGGAACAAAATAGTTCTCAACTACTAAATAATAAAGGAAAAAATATTCTGATGGGATTACATAAAAAGTCAGAATTTGAGAGAGGATGATAGAATTCATCCTATAGCTAATTCATCACATGGCAAAATATATTTTGCTGTTAAAATCTCATTGATTAATCAAACTAATTAATGTTTTGGTTTTAGCAGGCAGAGGTCTGAATATTCATGCCATGATAGGAGTTATGCACCACATATAGCAAAGATTCAGTATGATCATTGGATTTATGCCAGATTTCTATTAATTAACAACACATTTAGCTTTTTAAAAAGAATTGGAACTGGAAAATATATTTGATTTTAATTCATGTGCACAGTACATGATGATTCCACTCACCCATTGGGTTTTGTTGTTGTTTTGTGTATACATGCTTTTCCTAAAAGTCATATTTTATGGCATTATGGCATTAAAATACCAGGGCAGTGGGATTCTTATATAAATAAAACTTAGGCAAAGCTAATGCAGAAAAGGTTTTATAGTCAGGTTTTGCAGAAGAGGCACATGAACAGCAACAGAGCTTTTTAAAAATGAAATATAAGCATGAGGAAGACTGCAACCAAATTCAAAAACTCAGTGTAGGAGGCCCAACTCAGAGTCTTCCTAGTATGCAGATTACATCAAACCTTGAAATAATCAGGAAGTAATAGAAGTAAATTGTGATTTGTTTCAACTAGATATTCAATACATTTGGGCTTTTAAAGCTTTTAAAAAGAGAATCGTGGGATAATGGGAAATAATCCTTCTGTGTTATTTTGCTTCAGTCTGATCCCACCTCAAGTACTGTGTCCATTCTGGGAAACACACTTTAAAAATGATTCAGCCAAACTGGAACAGGTTCAAAGAAAGGTGATGAGGATAATGAGATGATTGTTATATGAAGAAAGATTGAAGAAATTGGGCATGTTTAGCATTGAGAAATAATTGACTGAAAGACAGCACTCTTCAAATACTGAAAGGATGTCACACAGAAGAAGGTCAAAACTTGTTCTCTCTTATGCAAGATACAAGACTACAGTGGCTTTAAGTCACAGGAAGGCAGATTCTAGCTGAATGCTAGAAAAACTTCCAAACAGAGCAGTTTGTCAGTGAAATTAAGGACTTAGAGATTAACCCCTGTTTGTAATGCTTTAAAGGAAAGGCTCAATGACTTAAACATCCTGTTCCTCCTCTAAAATTCTATGATTCTAGAAAAGAAGTGTACCATGCTCCAAAACTGGCATGTTTTTGGTGTTTTTAATCTCTGGGACACTAACAAGAACATAGAATCAAGACTGTAGGAAATAATTGTTCTACTTTGCCCTGGTCGGCCCTCACTTGCAATAGTGAGTCCGGTTCTGGGTGACACCATCCAAATTGGATGGTGAATTGAATTGGAGTGAGTTCAGAGGAAGGCTTCCAAGATGGTCAGGAGTCTGGCAATTCATCCTTCTGAAGAACACTCTGGTTAAAGGATCTAAGTATGTTTAGCTTACAGGAGAGATGACTGAGGGAAGATATGATAACAATCTTCAAATATCAGAAGGGTTGTAAACATAGCTGAGGGAGTGGTAGGATCAGAACCAACTGATTAAAAGTACAAGAAAGGCAGTTCAGGATAGCCATCAGGAGGAACTTTCTAACTATATAAGCCATCAGCCAGTGGAACAGGCTACCACATGACACGGTGAGTTCTCCTTCAGCGGAAGTCTTCAAACAGTGACTGAATGCCCATCTGTCAGAGATGCTTTAGTGGAATTTAGTGAGCAAGAGAGGAGCACCATGATATCTGAGGTCACTTCAAACTCTATGATTCTGTGACAATCCTCACCATTCCCTAAGGCAATTTAAATAGATATATACCTGACTCAAAAAGAGTATTCACCAATGGTCATCATTAAAACTGGAAATAGGTATCAAGTGGAGTACCACAAATTTCAGTCCTGGGTCTGTTCCTGTTTTAGCAAACTTGAATAAATAGATAGGAATGTTTATCAGTTTTGAAATGGTATAACATTGGATAGGATATCTAATAGCCTAGAAGACTTAAGTAAAAATCTAAATCTGATATGTGAGAAATTGGATGAAAATAACAGCATGAAATAGAGACAAAGGCAAAATTTTTCACACAGGAGACAGAAATCAAATGGACAGGTATAAGATGTGGATTCCTGACCATGTAATAGTACTTGCAAAAAAGATCTTGGAACAATAGCTTGCAAACTGGATATGACTCAACAAAGCAATATGACTGCAAAAAATAAAATACAGTTTTACATCAACAGAAATATATTTCCTAAAATACAGGAAGTGATTTTTCCACTTTATTTTGTGTTGGCTCACATGCCACCTAGATTTTTGTGTTAAATCCTGGGCACCACACTTTGTGAAGAAATCAAGAAAAATGGAATTGGTTCAGATACAGACAAGATGGATGAACTAGTCACGTAAAGAGAGATTGAAGAAACCATCTTCAAATATTTAAGCTCTGAGAAGAGAAGGCTGATATATGATCAGATGACACTCTTTAAATACTGAAAGTATATCAAAAGGCTGAGACAAATTCAAGTTACAGAAAGACAGATTCCAATTAAATGTTAAGAAAAGAAAAATGTTTAGAATGAGTCTGGTAGCATATTTTCCAACTAACACATTTTATTAAGAGGCATAAGCTTTTGTGAGCTGTAGCTCACTTCATCAGATGCTTTGGCCTCTTAATAAAGCTTATGCCTCTTAATAAACAGCATTGGTTGAAAAAGGTGCTACTAGACTCCTTCTGATTTTTTGCCACCATAAACTAACATGGCTCTCCTCAAGGAAGAAAAAAGTTCCTATCCATCCGACAGGGGAAAGCTATGGGGCTCATCTTCTTAGGCTGTGTGGAAGTGCAGGCTAGACAGCCCTCTGTCTGAGATGCTTTAATTTGGATTCCTGCATTGAGCAGCAAATTGGATTTG